AGCAGAAAACCAAATATACAGCTATTAGTAGTGGTATTCATTAAGAAGCAAGGTTACCTTGTTGACGCCTCGAAAGATAGGGTGTTTTTGTGTGTGTAGAGTTATTCAAGATACATAGCCTATATCGGCACAATATTCTTGCTGGTGGCTGAGATATTGATGGAAGCGAGAGAGCCGATTGCTTCGAGTAAGAGGCTCGTTTAAACTGAACACCAGCACTGAGCGCAAGGCTCTCATACGCGATACAGGGATTTTCTGGGCTGCCGCTAATAACGAGTGAGAGGGTTTTATATGGGACCGTCGCTGGAAGTGAGGGAGACGCTCTTATACGGCAGTCCTCCAACTCGTGACAAAAATGGTGCCGATGTGATGGAGAAGGCTACCCTACTACGCTTGGGTCTGCCTCACCCTCGCTTCGCCACCCTTCTCTTAACTCCTCCCTGGGATGCCATCTATGCCACTTAGTGTACATACATGCATTTTATTTTCTGTTGCACTAACTGAAAGGGTGCGTATTATTTCATGCCTAGCGACAGACACGAACACGTCATCGAAGTCTATGCCTTCCTTTTGTTCATTTCCTCGAGCTACTCGTCTCGCTTTATTTTATCTAATGAATCGTCTTAGTTTTTATTTATTTTAATTACCCATCTACTGATAAGTATTTAGGCAACCTTTGTTCTGTCTACTAGTTCCCATGTTCTATTTTCTAAGAGAGATTCCTGTCTCATGGACGCTAATCACAACGATTTTCTTTGTGTTAATTTTTTCGGCTCTTTGTATTACTTTTCACTTACATTTGCAGTATAGTGATATATTGTATCTTCTTTAATCTACCTGAATTTCCGCTTCGTAATATTTTGGCACGGCTTTCTGGATTACTCTTCGTTGGTTTCTCTTCGATGCATTCTTCTTCTTCAAACTTTGGAGTTATTTCAACCTCATTTTGAGTCGATAATATGAAGATGTCGTTATTTATCTTTATAGCACTATTTACATCTTTATGAAATTGTACATCTCTTGTGATTTGAGCAATTTTTAGCAAAAAGACGTTTATTTTAAAGAGACATTAAGTTATATTCAATTGCGCTAAAAAATGTGGTTATGTTTACGATTGCACATAAGCTTCGTAAAGACGTAACAACTTTCAATATATCTCAAGTCGACTTGTAGATACAGCATTTATAGTGATCCTTCACACCTAACCGAATCACCAATATATTGCTTGCCTCTTGGCATAAATTTATTTAATTCATTTCTTTTTCTAGGGCAATTACTTTACTACCAAAAATTCTCGTAAATAATAAAAAATGTATGGTTTTTCACCGGTCCATCCTTCGTATCGTGTTATATCGTTTAATTTCTTTGTAGGACTTCTGTTTCTGATGTAAATGGTCGCATATATATTGTGACGTGTACCGTTCATCGGCGTCGCCTACAAATAATCCATGGCTGCTCCCAACGTGCTGTTATCAAAGAAAAGATCCGAAGATCTAATTGTTGGGCGCCAGGTGCGGCTTTCCCGCACCACCATCCCTCATCACGGCCGTTTTCAGGTCTCCCGGCGGCTCAGCCTCAGCTCACTGAAAATGGTAGAGGGGAACATGGGGGCGACGAGAGAGAATTTTGGAGTCAACAGATAGGCGCGCAAAATGATAAAACAGCGAGTAGGATACCGTTCCGTTTATTACCATCAATCCCGGCTCCACGAGGGTGTCCATCAAACACTCGGAATTTCACACACTCGGCCACGCACTGGCACTAGACTATCCCAAAAAATCCCGGGAGCCATGGTTCTCTGCGAGAGATCCCGATAATCGCAATCCGCGATTATCCGATAGCTCCGCTATCGCCCGAGCACGGAAGAAGGACTCCTTTTTCGCGGTCCGCCGGACACCCGTGTCCTCACACGCGGACTCCCCGCAACACACTCTCTATCCTACCCACCGCTCTTCGCGGTAGGTCAAAAATCAAAACAAATCTCCTCTCCGGCGCCCTCCCCGCGGACCCGCAAACCGTAGCCGATCAAAGTTCCCGGGGTACCGGCAGTGCGTCCTGGCGGTTGAGCACCCCTTGCGTGCGGGCTCTCAACCCAAAAGGGTTCCGTGCCTCCGCCGCCAGTCCACTACTTTCCCCCGTTCCCTCCTGCCAACCACGGACCTACGAACTCTTTGGAGATGGAGGCTGGAGGCACTGTCGTGCTGTCGGCAGCGCGCGGAGGTGCGGGGCTTCTGTAATGTGTCGTCCTGACGCCACGTTACAATATACATTCACTGCGCATAGGCTCATTGGTAATTTTCATTCTGTTAACATGGTGCGTGCTATTTCAACTATTGTTCTATTGGTACGTTTGCCAATTCCATATTGTTGAGGTGTATAGGCGGTTGACAATTGCCTCTCTATTCCTTCGTTTTAGAGGTATTTTGAAAATGCTTTTAATAAATATTCTTTAGCATTGTCGCTTCGTTTAACAATTTTCCCGTTTGTTTCTCGAAACGAATTTTGAACGTTTTAAGTATAGAAAAGATTCCAAACTTTTCCTTTAAAAACACTATTTCCGTGTATTTTGTTTTATCGTTAATGAAGGTGACAAAGTATCAAGAGACTCGGTCGAGTCCCGTGCGAAGTACAGGCAACCCGCCGTACGGGGCAAGGCCCGCCGAGACTCTTTACTCGAAGCATCGCTTGTACCTGTGTTTCGACTCAAATATCTTATGAACGGCTGTATGTGAGAAAAATTTATTGATACATTCACTCTAGGAATCAAGGGTTCTGAATTGATTGCCACCAAATTCAATACGATTAGTGTACGGGATCAGGACGTATTCACATGGCGAGCGAGATGATTTTATTTCAGGTCCGTCGTCGTCGTCGTCGTCCTCGTCGTCGTCATCGTCGTCGTCGTCTTCGCACGTCCATCGCATTTTTTACACGACAGATGGCGCTGACTGACCTTCTTTACCTATTTGTACTCTCTACGGTGTTAGTAATTTACGAATACACAACACAATCAAAT